TAATTTAGAAGAGGATATCGTGTTTCATAAAGAGTTTTCAGGGTGGACTCCGCAGAGGAAGGAACTATTAGAATTAGAAGAAGTTTTCGAAGAAATGCAAACACCACAGAGGGTGGATTTGCTAGATCAGACATTGCAAATGGTGGAACAGACACCAAAGAGGCTGGATCTGCTATATTTAAAGGAAATGGATGACAAATTGCAAGAGGAAATCACGGAAGCACAACAAAGCCTTGGAGAAACTAAAGATTTGCGAATGCTAAGTAATAAAGAAGAGTTTATTAGAGCAACACAGAGTACGGAGGATCAAAGATGTCAACAAGATATTAAGGTGCGTATAAATCCATAATCACAAATAAGAAAATCGGGAGGACGTGAGAATTCAGGTATCAAGTATACCGATCTAAAAATCAATGAAGAAGAAAAAATACTTGAAGTGGCAGATATGCTTAACAAGAAATCGAGTGCTTCAAAATTCGTCAAGACAAAGTTGGATGCAACAAAAAAGAAAAGAGTTAAAATGAAACGTCGGTGCTGAATGGGAGAATTGAAGATCATCACCGACTTTAAGGAAGCTCCATGAACTCTCTAGAAAATTGGTGATGATTCATGACTAGAAGAGATTAGAAGAATCTAGAATGCATCCGTGCCTAGAAGATGCTAGAAGAATCCAATTACTATCACCACCATTTATGAATGTATCTAGAATTATGTTCACCACCATACTAGAACCTTCTACAATCATCCAATAACACCCATAAATACAAGGTGATTGTGTATGCATGAGTGATGAGAGAAAGTGTGTGAAGAGAGTGAGGGCAAATAGAAAAAGTGGGAAAGAGAGACATAGTGAGGTAGTGTAGTGTGTTAGTGAGGAGTGTCTCCATATAATTAAAGTGTGTTCAAAAGTGTGTAAAATCTATTTCATAAATAAAATAATATCATTCTTTAGTCTTAAATTCTAAAATGCATGTAGTAAATGGTGATTTTGTGGCACAATTTGCTGAGCCTTTTATGAAATAACTCCATTTAGAAAACTCTATGTTGAACGCATTTGTAGCGAATAAATTACATTATATGTACTTTATTAGTTCTAGTGTGGTAAATAGTCTACATGAGGAGCTATGTTCGTTTGACTTGAACCTATTTTAGTAAATAGAGATAGAATAGAGACATTAAATTCTTGTATAAGGTACATTTTAGTTTCTTCACATGGTATTGATGCTTTCGATTCAAATCTTGATGTCATTCATATACCTAACTCGTTATAAACTACTTTGTTAATCCGGTGAAAGTAATGTAACTTCTACTAAATTCTGAAAGCCGGATTTGGCTATACGTTTAATAAATACTGTAATAACCAAATTTTATTTAGCAAAGGGATAAAGAAAAATGCCGTTGTTTGTTAATAAATTGCATTTCTAACTGTGTCCTTGTTTCTAGCACATGTTCTATCTCCGTTCTTGTTTTGGCTCCATGGTTCAAATTCCGACTTGAGTTCTAAGGATTGGTGAATCTCCAATTTTGAATCTTCATGCTTCTAACCTTCAAGCATTCTTTGATATTCACCAAAGTATTGGATACACTGACGAGTTGACATCAAAACAAAAACCCAAACACAAAATCCTATGAAATCACTAGAAAATTGAGTCAAAAGGCAAGAAAATAATCTTCTCTACATATGCAATACATGCAAACGAAAATATTCTTATGCCATGGTTGACACCACCTAGGAAAATAGGGTTTTGTTTCTTAATATAATTGGTTTAGGATTGTTATTTTTATATTTTTGCACATACAGTCCCTAAACTTTTATTACTTATACAATTAGGGCATATTTGATACAAGCCAATTCCATGGAAAATGGAATCATTTTCCACACAAATGTGTTCTTTGATAGGTAAAATTTTCCATGAAATTCTTTTTCCACCCTACCCCCCACGTGATTCAAATTCTTGGTTTTTAAGGAAAATGTTTTCCTTTGGTTTTGGTGAGAAAGTGTTTTCCAATTTAATTTTTTTTTGTTAGTTTTTCTTTTTTCTTTTATTTTTATTTTTATTTTTGGCAATGGAAACAAATTCTATCCACAATTGTAACAAATTCTATCTATTTAATTGACAATTTTCATGAAAAATAAAGTCAATCAAATACCAAAAGATAAAAAATTTCAACATTTTTCAGGTGAAAAATTATACTGATCAAACACATTTAATTGACAATTTTCAATAAAACAAGTTCTAGACAATTCAGTTCCCTGAAATTTATTTTCGTTTCACCCAAATTTCGTTCTTACAATCAAATGGAATCTTAAGTCCTAAAACTTTAGGAGCTACAAAAGCGACGTGGTAGGATTTATATAATTTAAAATCTAATAAATAAATAGGTATCACCTACTCCCTTTCCAATCCAATTATTAACCACCTGTTGCTCCACTAAATGCGCAAAACTACACTCTAAAATTATAAAAAAATAAATAAATAAATAAAATCACATAAACAATTATATAATTACTTCCTTATGCCCGCTGAACTACTGTGTTACCCATGCCTGGTGTCAAATTAAGATAAAAAGACTGTTTTGCCCTTCAAATGATTTTTTCCTTGAGTTCTTTTTAGTTTTTCCCCAATGATTTCTGATACATGTTATCCAACACTAAAAACTGAGCTTTGATTTATCGTCAAACAGAAAATACTTGAAAGGACTTCTTAAATCCTTTTTATTTTCTAAAGCCAATAATAACCCACTACTTCGCTTATATACTATATGATTCACAACACGTCGATGTATTTTAACACAAAAATTAGTTTCACGTATTGGTATATCAAATAATATTCAAGTAAGCGATTAGTGTAAAGGATCTTGTTTACAATCTATATAATTAATACTACGGTCACGTGAAATTTAATTCTTCTTAATCATTATAAATGATTATATTCTAACACATGGATTAGTCCAATGCTCATCGAGTACACAAATATCACACTCAAAAAATAGTATTATGCAATTACGACAAAACAATATTATTAAGCAATTAAGGACAAATTGCTCACCAAAGAGGTGGAATAGTCAACACGACAACCCTGAATAAAGTTTCAACCCTCATTCATCAATCATAACTCTCGATCAAAATATAAGGAGTGACACACTACATTTTATGAAGCTAACATCGGTTTAAAATATATGAAAGTTATCAAAGGCACTTGATCACTTAAATGATATAGTGCAACAATCACATATAAATAAACAACTTCAACGTTCTAAAACCTAGTTAATTAATCAATTTATCTCAATTATTCGTTTCAGTCAGAATATGTCAGAACTTTTTACAGACAATTTTACACACAATTCTAATTGGGGCAATTTAACAGATATGTGTTCTACAATATATAATCGATTATGGAATTAAATAAAGATGAACACCAAGTATAACGTGGAAAATCATAAGGGAAACATCCACGGGTCCCATGCCACTAGTAGAATAATCCATTATCAAAGAACAAAAAATACAATAGTTTCAGTTTTGTAATTGCGCAAAATTAACGAAAACAATCAGAAGCAAGTAAAGAACAACTCCCTCATTTTCTTTCTTTTGATGATTGTTGGGGAAATGGAATCAAACATCCGATCTTGACTTTATTGCAACTTCACTGTTGTATTCAACCGCAATTATCATTTGGATTAAGATTCGCCAATCATAACTCAATAAGATTACATCATTCACGTACTGATGTGTTCTCTTCAACTACAGTTGAAAAACACGAGTTTTTCTTTGAGGTATTTTAATGGAACATCAGCTACTCAGAGAGATGCATCGAATAGTAAATATTAATTCTCTCTCAACAACTTAAACGGTTATGAACACAAATAAAAGTCTTGCCTTTTAGTCTTAATTGCGCCTATGCCTAAGACTTTGACTCTTTATCACTATGGGCAATAAATAATCCTCAGCGTTTACTTTGATTTTCCAGCAGACCATGAACAGTGCCTCATCATAAGAGCTCATGGGCGGCGTTTCACTTGTCCAAAATCAGTTTGATTAATTCAGTTTAAATCTATGAATATTATGCTACAAATTCAAGACTAGTAAAGATATTGAGCAACCTCACTGTATTAGATAAGTACAAGACGACAAGAACGAAAACAATTAACTAAATCTTATTCTCAATAATTTCACGTCAACAATGAAAAGAACGGACTAAACCCTTTTCACCATTTTCATTCGACTTGCTATGGATGGACAAATGACCAAATTAGTGAATCACAATTCACACCAAAAATTCAAAATTCAATTGAAAATCAGGACATAAAAGTCACGTTACCTTTGGTTTATTATTTCTCATTGTGGAGACTAAAGATCCTAATTCACTTTGAAGAGTTAGACCATAATTCTTTTCTTTGTTTCTTTCCTTTTCAATTTATACATCGATTCTCACATGGTTATCAACAAATGTTGCATGTCGTCTACCGTTGCACTTAGCCACCACCGCTCATGGATTTTTGAAATTGAAGCATCAATCATCGATTCTTCTTCCTCAAGTGTTTTTTTCTCAATCAGTATTGTAACTAGAACCAAACCAAACCATAGCCAAATGGTTCAGTTTTGGTTTGTTTTCATTATAAAAAAAAAAAAATTATTGGTTCATAATTCGGTTCGTTTCTCTTGGAATTAGAACCAAATGAAACCATTTCCATCCCATGAGACTTACGGAAAGATCCAAATTGGATAATGCATGGATGACAATTTGCCATGGCGGCTAGTGAAGTTAGGCATTCATTCAAGTGGTCATTCTTATAATAAAGTGAAAGATTTATGACTTTTCAAGTATACATGAACAAGCCAAAATTACACCATACAGATGCACGTTCCTGTAATCCCGTGTACTATGTATAGCCTCTTTCCTCGGAGTCATTATCTGTCAAGAAAATTAAGCAGCCATTACTGAATTAAAATTCAAACTACGACCAATTTTATACTCTTCAATCCCTCTATAAAAGAGGACTCTGGAGTGCCTACTTCCATGTACAACATACTTTTATAGCTGCTTCTAAAACAAATATATACTTTTACAGTTATATACTTCATGGCTGGTGTAAGAAGTCATTTCACTATAGAAATGGCTCTAGTTGGGCTTCTCATATTGGCTATCCTGGATTTCACAGGTCCCTTTCTCTTTCCCTCTTAGAGCATTCTTACTGCCTATTATTTTGTTAATACTGTTTTGTACTCCTATCTACCTTACCAAACATGGCATTAAGTTTAACAACTACATACACCATATGCCTAGCGGCGTAATCTACAGATTACGAATTCAAATGATTTTCATTTCCGCTTACTTCGTCTGAGCATTCCACGATAACTTGTGTAATAATAGGCATATTTAGCTAACAGAAATGAATTCTATAGTTTAAAACATGAATGAGGCAATTTAACACTCATTTTGTTTCTTTTCCATATCTTTTGATAGAAAGGTTTTCAGAAAATTACTGTTCCATGAACTTTTTACAGACACAATCAGTAATTTTATGTTCATTATGGTACAGTGGCTCAGACAGGAGTTTGTTATGGAAGGCTCGGGAACGCATTGCCACCTCCATCAGAAGTCGTAGCTCTATACAAACAGAATGGCATCCGAAGAATGCGAATCTACGACCCATACCAGCCTACTCTTCAGGCTCTTGGAGGCTCCAACATTGAGCTCATGCTAGGTGTTCCAAACTCTGACCTTCAGAGACTTGCTGCTAACCAAAATAATGCAAATACTTGGGTTCAAAACAATGTAAGAAACTATCCTAATGTCAAGTTTAGATACATTGCAGTTGGAAATGAAGTGAGTCCTTTGAAAAGTGACACATCTCAGTTTGTACAATATGTCCTCCCTGCCATGAGAAATATTCAAACTGCAATTTCTGCAGCGGGACTTGGGAACCAGATTAAGGTTTCTACTTCTATTGAAACTGGCGTACTCGGAAATTCTTATCCTCCATCAGCTGGTGTATTTCGATCTGAAGTTCAACAATATCTTGGAGGGATCATTCAGTTCTTGGTAAACAACAGAGCCCCTTTACTTGTCAACATATACCCGTATTTTTCACGCGTTGGTAATCCGCAACAGATAAGTCTTCAATACGCTCTTTTTACGTCTTCTGGAATTGTAACACCTGATGGAACACGGTACCAGAATCTTTTCGACGCCATATTAGATGCCGTATATGCAGCACTTGATAAGGCTGGTGGCTCATCTGTGGAAATTGTTGTGTCGGAGAGCGGTTGGCCTTCGGCTGGAGGACAAGACACGTCCATTGATAATGCAAGGACCTATAATACGAATTTGGTGAAAAGTGTAAAGACAGGAACCCCAAAAAGGCCTGGAAGAGCTATAGAAACTTACATTTTTGCTATGTTTGACGAAAATCAGAAGAGCCCTGAATATGAGAAATTTTTCGGGCTCTTCCGACCCAATAAACAACCTAAGTACCCAATCAGCTTTAACTAGTTATGGATAACAAGTTTATCACAGAGGACAATGCTCCAGAACTGGTACTTTATAAGTTCTAAATAAGGGTTCTTCTAGCGTATTTGACAAGCAATAAAGAGCAATGTGCATAGCCAATTACAATGGCAATATAAAAGGAAATAAATCAAAAGTGGACTACTTTTCCATTTTTTGTTGATCTTTTTCCCTTTTCTTTTATTTCTATTTATTTTTATTTATTATTATTTTTTTTTTTTCAATTTTGAAGCCATAGACAGAGATCGCTGGTCAAAAGATTGCAGCAGAATTGCAGAAACCAGCTTGAGAGCGTTGAGAAAATGTGGGTTACACTGTGGTAAATAAGGTTCTTATCAAACAATCAACTTAAAGAATGTTATATGGACACAATTTTAAATTTATAATTGAATATAGTTGGTGGTTAGAAAGGGGGAAAAATAAAAAAAAATCTCATTTGACTATCAAAGAATGGACGGGGACTTTAGGGTTTGTTACACCGTCACCATCGTTAAAAATTACTTTTAGCGATAAATAAAATCATCTACCATCACTTGTTTCACAGACGAAAATAAGTCCAATATTACTGAATAAGTTTTATGTGACTGCTAAAAATGAATGTAAAAAAGAAAGGTATTATATTTATGTTAAAATTTGTTTCATACATGTTAGAATATGACCCAAATTCCTATTGGGATTAGGATTTGGTTGGTAAATTGATAGAAGAACAAGGGTACTTTTGGTTGGAAGCACGGTTGAAAAAGAGATCAAAGTTAATCAAGGATTAAAAGTTTGATTGGTAAAAGGACTTTGAAAAATTGAAGACTTGGTTTTGGAGTTTTGGTAGCGAAAATGTCACCACAATTTCATTAGCTTTGGCGCTAGAACATCGGGGATGAAAATGGAGCAGAGAGTTGGCGCCAGCGTTTTGCTTGAGCGGCGAAGCTGCCGCTCGCTTAGCCATCCAGCGGCAATGTTATCAGGGTGAGAATTTTTAGATTCTGATTCGTTTCTTAGATTGTGTTTCATCCAAAACACTTGTAATAAGTTCTTATATATACTCTACGTGGTTTAGACTCTTAATAAACTCAAGTAACAATAAGATCCTTGTTATGTATATTAATACCTGGAGTTGATTGTTTAGATTGAGATTGAGAATTTCAAATCTTGTAAAACAATTTTAGTTTCTCAGTACATTGAAAGAATAATGTTATTTTCACTCGCTCACTACCTCAGTCGTCCTACATGGCATACTTATTTTTAATTACTTTATGCAACAAATCACTAACAGCCACAAGTATGTCACGTATGACAACTACGACAGTAAGTAATTGCAAATAATATTACTCATATTGAAATTCTCTTCTTCCACATAAATCATGTTCTTGTGTGATTCATTATTTTTCATATTGCTCTTATTTTTTGGTCTTAATCATTTGGCTCGATTTTCAATAAATTGGTATCAGAGTAATTTTAGTATCTTGTTTGTTTCTAACAATTCATGTGGACCAAATGTAGAAGGGAAAATACTCCAATTAAGTGCTTCGGGAGATAACATTCCAGGCACACCACAGAAAGAGATTTGAATCCTCGATTAATAGAAGTCTATGTAGCAAATTAACGCTCCACCTTGAAAATCCACTCAACTATCTATCCTACACAATAATTGTGGCCTTGCTAATAAACAACACGCCATGTTTAATATTGTGCTATTTTTCTTCTCTAATGCGTCATTTTTCTTAGACAGAGACCACAAGAAGTTGCTTTTTAGTCAACGCGTTATATAATTCAAGTCATTCTCCACCACAATAATTGCAAAATAATTTACAGCCTGTTTGGGCCCGATTTTTTCAACAAAAAAATTGATTTTTTGATCGTTATTTCATTATTTCAGCCGTCATATTTCACTTCTTCTTTCATAGGTGGACCTCACTTTTCTCCTAACGGTCAAAAAATCAATTCTCAAAATCACTCACAAACAAGCTCTTATATAGTCATGAATTTGATTCTTGACTAAGGTTTAGATTTCTTGTGCGAAAATATTCCCAAGTTTGTCAATTAAAATTTGTTTAACAATTTAAAGAAATATACTAAAATTACAGGTCAACTTGTAAAATCAGTATATAAATTAATCTAATAATTACGCTTATTAACATATAAAACCTTATAAATTACTGTAAAATATAATTAACAACAATGAAATTCCCCCAAATCATAACCCAATCCAAAAATTGACAAACTTTCACAAAATTCTTCCCATCTAATTCAAATTTAGAGGAGGAAACAACTTCTTCCATATCATTGTGATGATGATATTTTTCTCTTTTCTTTCTTAAAATCTGCAGAAACTCGTAACTCTACACCTTTATATTGCATTAGAAGTTCACTTTTAAAATTTTGGAGTTAATTTAATTTGTACTGTCGATTTCAGTCTACAATGAGCATTGAAAGTTCATTTTTGCAGGTGACATACTCATTTTTATTGTGAAGCTTTTGACTGTGGAATTTTCAGAAATTTGAAGAATAATTATGGATTCTTGTTACTTCTGCATTTCTATTCATTAATTGCGTATGAATTGAAGTCCTATTTGGTTAAGATAATTATCAAATTTTTAGTAGAATTTAATAAAAGTTGATAAAATTAGTGGTTGAAAAATTGTGACTTAGGATAAATCTAATTGTTGGCTTTGAATTAATTTAAATCCACATTTTTAGTGGAACCATGCGGAGGCTAAATAATAGTTTTCAATTGATCAATAATACAATAGACAGCTTTTTAGTGTTAAATCTCATTTTACCAGAAGTTTCGTTTTACGGCTTATATGCTCATTTTCATTCTGAGCTTTTCTAAAATCGAATTTCTAAATCTTGATTGAGAGTAATGATTAAAGATTATAGATTTTTTAGGTGTTTTCCTCGATAGGATACATGAAAATTCAACTTTGGATCAATGATGATGAGTTCAGAAAATACTGCTTTGGATCAATATGAAAGATGCATACAAGGTGTGTGTAAAAATGCAAATATGAATTATGAACTAAGGCTTAGCTTTGCAGAAGAAAAAGCCCTCACGCAACTTCAAAGAAGGAGAAAAAAAAAATAATAAAATAGATCTGACAGGATGATTGGAGGCCATAATTCTTATCAACCCTGGCTGGCGCCAATCCAATAAGGGCTGTCTTCAACCCTGTCCCCAAGTCAAGATAGGAGGCTTTATTCAATTCCAACCCTGCTCTCTATCCTGGCTAGGGGACAGGGTCAGGGACAAGGATGCCACTATTGGAGGGGCGCCTGCCCCTGATTGGCGCCTCTCCAATAGGAGCCCCTATCTTCAACCTTGCCTCCAAGCCGAGACAAGGGCTTTATTCAATTCTTATTGGTGCTCTTCTGAAATCTGCCCTTGTCTCAGCTAGTGGCAAATTTAGTATGGGGACAGTGGGGTTAGCTGTCCCGAACTAAATTTCAAATTCAAGATTTTGCATAAGATTTTGCGCATGATTTATAAAAAAAAAAAAAAAAAAATCTTATAATTTTCAATTTTACCCTCACAATTAATATTTTGTGACATTTGGCCCCCCACAACTCCACAATTCTATCTCCGCTCCTAACTCTCAACCCCTTTAACTTGGACGGATTTATACATCATATAAACTCACTGCAATCGTGCGAAATAGCTTTATCGCTCTTGCTTCTTTCGTTGAATACTTGAACATATTAAGCCAAAAATTGTGCTGGCAAATTCCTACATTTTACCAAATCCACCAGAGTACGCCAGACAAGAGAGGCAGCTACATGCGACTTATTTTCTTTTTCATCCAGTTAAAAATAAGTCATTCAAGCAAGCCTCATCTGTAATTTAATTTTGCTTCTTATGAAACAGTATACATGAATTATTTAGCAATTTCCATAAATATATTTGTTTGCAAACTAGTATTGTCAATCAATAGGTCTACAAAATGCTAGGCAAGATTTTCAAGAGCAGAAAACAAAGATTCTGAGCCCTCAGCATCTTCCAAGGTAAAAAGGAGGTACACAGCCACAAGCTTTGCATTGTGATTAATCACTCCAATGACTAAATCAGCTAAAATTAGCTAAAATATACAGGTAGTTTGCTTGATTTGTCGGTTTATTTACTTCCAATAAGGATTGGTAGAAGGGGATACATGCATTCCACTAAATACAGAGTTCCACGACTGAGAAAAAGAGAGAAAAACAAGGAAACAAGATGATGAAGAGATGAACTGATACTTCTTAGATAACTACTCGTGGCATTATTTCTCGAAGTATCTTTAAAAAATAAATATATACGATAGTAGAAACAGCTAAGTCATAGAATGTACAAGTCTAGAGGTAAGGAATTACAGAACTTGTCTTACAAATGCTTGTTCTCCATTCTTTTCAAGTCCCAAGCCAAAAACAAACTTATGTAGATGATGGCTCAACTTTACGCTTGGGCCGATTGCGGATGCGTGGTGGTGCAGATTCCTTTTCTGAAGGAATGTTAACTTCTTCATCATCATCTTCTTCTGCTTCTAGTATAGCTTCGTTTATTGCGACCTGGCTCATCAAACAACCGTGGTTCAGAACTATTTTTTCTTCAAGCATGAATCAAGTACTTAGAAGTTCGAATATAAACAAGTCGATAATGAGACATGATGTAAATTCTCATCGGGAAAAAATAAATAAAATAAAATAGTAGGATAACAAAACAGTAAACATTGCGCAGATCTTGAGAATAGAGTGTAAGTGATTCAACAGAAAATACAACAATTTGTAGTGATGTTTAACAAATCAAGCCACAGCCATCAAAATTCAAATATTGTGAGTGATAAAACAGGGCAACACCTAGTGTGGTAGCAATTACTGAAATTTACCACAATATCTCATATGTAAAACTTAAATTCAGTTGAAATATTAATAGTGTGTAAAGAGTACTTCGAGATTTAAGAATGATATTTGGACACTACTCAAGAAATATAGACAGATTTTTGCCAAGAATTTGCAATTCATATCCATGCCATGTATTGCAGTGCACTGCAGAAATCTTTTCAGCTGGTATGCATATATTCGGTTTTATCGACCACTTCTAAACTTTGTAGGATACTGAGAATCCAAAGAGGAGCTTCCCCTCTTTTGAGGTAAATGAAAAGAGCTATATTCAACAATATATGATGCATAAAAACCTTTAACTTCTAGTAACAGAAATTGTGATATTGAACTAACAAGCATCTGCATTCCATTAATTAAAGGAAATGTCTTTGAGTCCTCATGGACAGGCTGGAAGCAAGCTATGTACAAGTTATATGAGGGGTTTTTCTTCAACAGATGTGATATCCTTGGCCTTCACATTCTGGGCTGTATACCCTTCACAAAATTATGAACACTTAAGGAAAAAAATTCACTTATTTATCTTGTCATACAGACTTATTGACTGGGGTTCCAGCAAAAATATATATGACTCCTACACAAAAGACTCTTAAACATAACATCTCTCCTTCATTTCTTAAGCAACACCGCTCCAAGATACTTCCTGATTTAAAAGCTACTAGCGGCACATATTTCCTCTTTCTATGAGAATATCAAGGGAGAGACTAGTGTCTATGTTCCTAGAATTTTCCTATAGCTTGCACCTGTCTAGCCCTAAGACTTCATTGTCACCAGTCTTGTAGGTCAACCTGCAAGTTGTCTTAAAAATCAGTTGCAAACATTGGCTTCCTTGAAGAATTGAAGGAGACAACCTAAAGACCAAAGCTTTAGCGAAGTTAATCAAAAAATACTTGACTTTGGCCTCAGGCTTGAGTTTCAAAGTTCTAATAAAGGACATCTTAGTTATCTTGTGATAGGGCCTTGCATTAGTAATCAAGAAGTTCAGGCTTCTTTAGAGTTGACCTACAGCAATAGCGTGCTAGGCTGACCTGTGGAATTGTTCTTCATCAAAGTTAAAAGTCAATAAGTTCAAACTCAAATAGGGAGCCTCAAGTTAAGATCCCCGTGCAGAAGTATAGAGTTTTAGTCCAGATGCACATCTGAAAGGAGAAATGTGAAATGGTGCCAATAGAATATTTAATTTACATAAGTTGACACTTTCAATCCTTCAGACACACTACATGTCAACGAGGACATTAGAACATTATGGATGGGTTGTATTGGCCCTTTGATAAACATGCAAGGTGACTGCAGCAAGATTGTTGAAGTCAAGCATAAAGTGTTTTCATGAGTTCATAATAGGTAAGCACTTAGAGTAGGAGCATCTGGGAATTGCAAATTACAAAGTTCATTATTATATAGAGAATCTTCTTACCAAATTTTGTACCTTTGAAGTTTATTTACACGAGAAATTATTGTTTAGAGGTGTTATGCAGTAGCATTATCATAGGCCAAGTTTGGTAGCCATTTTTTTCAAAATGCATTTCTCTCTCTCTTCTTTTCAACTACACATTCTTTATTAAAATAATATTACACGTAAATCAAAAACTTTTCCTTCTTTCTCAACCACACATTTCACATCAATATACTATTCTAAAATGCATTTTTACATAAAAATGCCTATCAAACACCCCCATAATTTCAAAACATTGTGAGGAAAATATTGACTGGTTAACAATCTGGTATAGATGAGATTCTAAAGAGCTAACATTTTATATGGGGTCTTCATCACGGATCAAACAAGGCATTATTGGAGTTTGAAAAAGGGATAAACACGCATTTTTAGTTCCTTGATCGAAAGATATCAACTCCTAGCCATTGGCCTTTCATGCTGACCTATTTTAACGTATGTTTACAAGTATCAGTCAATCTCCCCTCATACTACAGGGAACCCTTTGGATCCCTTTGAGCACTAAACAAGCAACAACCTTAGAATCTTGGGGCACAGGGTACCTTACAGTATGCTTTTGGCCTTCCAAAGAATCTCTAAAATTCCCCATACAACTGATACAAGGTTGGAAATTTGCATGCAACACTGGAACTTGCGGCAGACATTAGGCATTGATTTTGAGAAAAATCTACATAATAGGAACCATTATGCTTCATGGAAATCATCTTGCTCTGGGCCAAATAAGCCATCGTTGCAAGCAAAATGATATGTATTTTACACGCTGATCCATGCTTTTAGACTTGATTAATCTTGTCAATTGAGCAGATATCTATCAAATTTAATGTAATTATGATAATTGTAGGAAAAAACCACACTTGGATGCAATCGGCACGGGGGAAAAAATAAAATAAAATAAAATAAAAATAAATAAATTGGAAAACCATCCATTTTGAGTTAAATTAGAGTTGATTCAAAGCAATTGAATGTTAATTGGACTGCATGCGATCAATAAGAATTACTAAGAAAGAAATGAAGGAGATTCACAAGTTTGAAAGTTAAATTCATTTTGGGACTAAATTACACTTGTCCGTTCCTCCGTTTGATGAATTGCTTGTACACAATCAGGGGAAAAAATTGACGGATGTGCGTAGTATGATATTCAATCATCGTTTCAGAGTGGAGGCGAAGGACTTCGCAGTATCGATTAACGATTCTGGCACTGTTAAGTTGACAGAATGGGGTTCGAAGTTATCGGATTCAATCTTTATGGGAAGGTATGGTGCTATTTGGATGGCGAATATGGTAGACAGATTGAGGATGAGAAGTGAATTTGAGGAATGTGCTTTTAAATTCAACGAGTCTTCAAGAGCTTTCTTGGCACAACGGTGTGTGAACCATCGAGGCAGATATTTGATGATAGCACAATATGGAGAGAGGTGTCGGAAAGGAGTTGTCATGATACTAGAAAGTGCAAATGGAGAGGGATGGGCGTCGATCTTGCAGGTGTTTCAAGCAGTTGTTGACTCATTTGTTGTTAGGGATAATGCCAAACAACAAACGGTGAATGAACGAAACAGACAAAGGATGACTTATGCAGAAATTACAGCAAACTCACAGACCTCGGAAAATGCTAACCAACGGATGCTACAGCAAAAGGAAAGGACAAATAAAGTCGGTGATAACGAAGGTCACGACATTTGTTTGAGTAGGGCTGAAATAATGACTCGTGCCCAGGAGTTGAAAGGAGCATTAGATGAATTACTTAGACTTGTTGGAAGCGGGCCTGAAATGGAGCCCATGAAATTGGTACGCTGTCACAAGTGTGGGGCTGAGTTGGATGAGAATCAAACCGGTGAAATACACACGTACCGGGATTGACTCATGAGGAACTACCATCAATTACAGAACATGAAAAGCAGGGAGGAGATGAACATTGTGATTCTCAGGAGAGGATGGAAGCGGGATACCATGAAAACGATGACGGGGTTGACTTTGTGGGGGTCAACCAAACTGAAGTAGACACGGGGATTATAGTTGAACGAGAGGAGGAACCGCTATCTAAGGAAGGGGAGTTTAGTATGGTGAACTTGGAGAAATTGACAATGAATACTGTGAAAGAAAACAACGCTACACAGTCAACATCGAGGATTACGAACACTTAAAATAGGAGGACAAAAGATAATGATATGGGGACTGAAAAATCTTTGGTGTTATGGGTAGATGGTGCCAAGAAAGGAGAAAGTGACAGTGACATTATACCAGTGGTGGAAGAGAAAGAACGGTCCTTTAATCATCTCGAGGGCTATCAGGGTGAGAATACTTCAGAAACTGATGTGTTAGAAGTTGGTCACCCACCTTCAAACTGGGTTCTACAAAAAATTCAGGAATTCAGTAAGTTGGTTGGGGTGTCATGTGATGGGTATGAAAGTAGATTGTTACAATTATTCGAGGAGCTGGAGGCTAAATAGGGGACAAGACATCAGTACACATGGAAGTAAATTAAGAAGAAAGGGTGATCGCGAACTTAAGAGGCTCGAATGGTCAGTAAACTATGCTGGTAAGGGTGGCAAGTCCAAGAAAGGAACAATGGGGAGGGGTTATGGAATATTACAATGATGCCAAAACTCATTAATTGGAACGTAAGGGGTCTCAATGAGGTTAGTAAAAGGCTTGGTGTTCGACATTTGCTAAGGTGATGGGGGCAAATCTTGTTTGCCTACAAGAAACTAAGATGGAGTTTATCTCGAGGGCGGTGATTCGTAGTTTATGGGGGGGGAAATCATGTAGGATATCAGTTTTTGGGGTCATCAGGGGTTTCAGGAGGCGTGTTGGTGATGTGGGACACTAGAGTGCTTGAGATGAAGGAGGTGAGTATAGGGGTGTTCTCTATATCGATTTCTTTCAAAAATTGCGAGGATGGATTTCGGTGGATGTTCACAGGAGTTTATGGACCTAATTCTGATGACAGTAGAGTGGGTTTGTAGGATGAACTAGCTGGAATAAGGGTTTCGTGGAATCTTCCTACATGTATTGGGGGTGATTTCAATGTGATTCGATTTCCTTCGGAGAGGTCGAGTGGTGGGAGACTAACTAGGGCAATGAAGGAGTTCTCAGATTTTATTAGGGAGAATTTGTTGGTGGATTTACCCATGATTGGGGGAGATTTTACCAGGTCATCCAATCGGGATCGACCTGTTTTGTCTCGTATTGATAGGTTCTTGATTTGTGGGGAGTGGGAGTC